GGACGTTGTCAGGAGGGATCAGTCCCTGAAGGACATCATGCTTGGTAAAATACATGGTCAGCGAAAAAGAGGAAGACCCCCAACGAGATGGACTGACACAGTGGCTGCAACAATGGGCTCAAGCATAACAACAATTGTGGGGGCATGGCGCAGGACCGGGCAGTGTTTCGTTCTGTTGTACATGGAGTCTCTATGAGTTGGAACCGACTCGACAGCACCTAACAACATAATAAGCAAAAGGAGCCCTGGTGGCACAGTGGTTAAAGTGCTTGGCTGCTAAGTGAAATGTTGCCAATTCGAACCCAGCAGCCACTCCACAGGAGAAAGATGTGGTAGTCTGCTTCTACAGATTATAGCCTTGGAAACCATGGATGGTAGTTCTGCTCTGTCCTATAGGGGCCCTCTGAGTCAGAATCAACTCAACAGAATGGATATAATAAGCAAATACAGGAATATTGAGTTTTGACCTTGGGATTACAGTGATTTGTCCCCCTAGCCAAATGCGCTGCTGTTAAGTCAATTGACTCAAAGCGACCCTATAGGACAGAGTAGATATGCCCCATAGGGTTTCCAATGAGCGCCTGGTGGATTTGAACTGCTGATCATTTTTGTTAGCAGCCAAGCTCTTAATCCCTGTGCCACCAGGGCTGTGCCCCCAAGAGAAAACTTAAAACAAGCAAACCAGGGAGTGGGGAGGATGTAAAAAAACCTCTTATCTAAAAAGCACAGAAACCATTACCGAGTAGTTCTTCAACAGTCAGCAAAACTAATATGCGCAATCCCTTGTATCATAATCTTCTTTCTAAATTGTTTGCATCCTGGCAGAGCCTAGGGGAGCAGATTTTGTAAAAATAAACGGATCTTGGGAACTGGAGAACTGGCGAAGTCTTTGTTCTGCTAAGTGTTAGCTATGTGACTTTGGGTAGAAACCACTTTGAGCTTAAGGGTTGTTTTTTTCTTTCTCTCTTTCTTAATCTAAGAACGAGAGTAACAACACCCGCCCTGACTACTCCATGGTTTGGGTGTGAGAATCAAAAGACATCAAATACGTAAAATGCAAAGTGCTTTCCAAGTACACCAAGCTTTTATTATTACCACCACAATTATCAAATTATATTATTGCTACAATAATTATCCAAGCTTTAATTCCCTAAAAGAAAGTACTACTGGCTTTTGATGATTTGCTTTTATCGAGACCTGAGATGAAAATGCTGTTCCCTGAGTGAATAAGAGAATCACAGTACTGCTCCCAGAAACACTAAACTCTGAGGTCAGAACTTGGTGCCTTGAAGGCCAACCCACTGCACATGAAAGTCATTGCATGGTGTTAAAGTGCATGCTGAAAGTGAGGAGGACTTGAAGCACTTACTGATGAAGATCAAAGACTACAGCCTTCAGTATGGATTACACCTCAACATAAAGAAAACAAAAATCCTCACAGCTGGACCAATAAGCAACATCATGATAAACGGAGAAAAGATCAAAGTTGTCAAGGATTTCATTTCACTTGGATCCACAATCAACATCCCTGGAAGCAGCAGTCAAGAAATCAAAGGACATATTGCATTGGGCAAATGTGCTGCAAAAGACCTCTTTCAAGTTTTAAAATGCAAAGATGTCACTTTAAAGACTAAGGTGTGCCTCACCCAAGCCATGGTGTTTTCAATCGCCTCATACGCATGTGAAAGCTGGACAATGAAAAAGGAAGACTCAGGAAGAACTGACGCCTTTGAGTTGTGGTGTTGGTGAAGAATATTGAATATACCATGGACTGCCAGAAGAATGAACAGATTTGTCTTGCCAGAAGTACAGCCAGAATGCTCCTTAGAAGTGACGATGACGAGACTTCGTCTCACATACTTTGGACATATCATCAGGAGGGACTGGAGAAGGACACCATGCTTGGTAAAATAGAGGGTCAGCAAAAAAGAGGAAGACCCTGGACGAGATGGATTGACACAGTGGCTGCAACAACGGGCTCTTGCATTACAACGATCATGAAGATGGTGCAGGACCAGGCAGTGTTTCGTTCTGCTTCCACAGGGTCACTATGAGTCAGAACCAACTCGACAGCACCTAACAACAGCAATAAAGTGCTCATATTGTGGTTCCTTTTATAAATTTGGAGCTTCCCTTAAGAGAATCGGGAGAAAAGACCTGGCGATCTGCTCCCATAAAGATTACAGCTTGGAAACCCTATGGGGCAGTTCTACTCTGTTGTACAGGGTCGCTATGAGTTGGAGTCGACTCGACGGCACACACCAATAACAACTTAAGAGAATTCTCTGATGAACGATAACCAGGGTCTACACAGAAGCACCCAGGATAAGATGAAACTCACTAATGTATGTATGTACATTTCTTCAGGACTTTCAAGATATTTCTCCTCTTGTCCCCACATCAATCTCCATTAAGATGAGAACCTGAAATGCAGGAAGGTCAACAGTCTCGTGAAAGACCAACAAGTCAGCCAGCATCTGCATCATTGTAAAAGGCATTACCTATGTGCACAGAGAGATCAGCTGATCCCTCAGGATGTGTCATAATCCTTTATTCCCCCTAGTTGCCCAGAGTCAGCCCCCCCTTTAATTTTTGTCCACAACACTTCCTTTTTGTTCCTATCCTTCTAACTAGGAAGTGTAGCGCTGATGCAGACACAATACTCCTCTTCATAAGGAAGGCAAATGAATATGTGCCAGATGGGGCGAGGGGATTACAACATGTTTCCTCCTCGTGTGGTGACTCAATGGGGCTGGTATGAGAACTTATATTCAGTAAATCAGCTTCCCCTAGCAGAATTATGAGTCACAGTTCCTGGGTAGAAAACTCACTTTCCAACAGCACTAGGGAGGGAGCTCCTTGGATAGATCACAGCAAAGGTCATTCAGAAGGGCAACACTGCCAGGACCATTGGGGGGGCACCAGCATCCACTAACTTCTGGGACTTCCCTCTTTCTCAGTAACAGTAACACAGTTACCTCTTCCTTTACTTTTAAGATGGGGCAGCACACAAAACCACATTGACGGATTACTGGTAAAGATCTGAACAAGTTCCATTATAAGATTGGCCACTTTGGACAAACAGGAATGGGAAGGGACCTGTATTCATCCATTTAGCATATACGGATTTAGCGTCTACTATGTGTCTGTGTGTTGATCACAATTCCAAGTACTTGTGTAACAAACCAAATAGACTAGTGCCTGCTCTCAAGCAGCCTAAAAGCAGAGAAAGGAAGGAGAGAAAAAAAGGAATTGGAAAGAAAAAGAGAAAGAGAGAGAGAAGGCGAAGAAGGAGGAGGGAAGAGGGAGAGAGTAAACATCAGGAAATGATGGAGGCAATGAAGAAAACTAAGGCAGGTAGAGGGATGGGGGTGATTGGCAGGGATGTTTTAGTTCTGATAGTCGTGGAAGGCCTCTGTGAGCCAATACTACTTAAGCAGAGAACTGAATTAAATAAGAACAAATTATAATCAGGAGTTATATTCAATATATTTAAAAATAAGAACATCATGGCACTGACCAATTAGGTGGGACAGCCAATCAAGAAGGGCAGACGATGGTTTAAACAGCCAGTAGGGCTGTATATCAGTGTGTTCCGGCTGAATATCAGCCCTGATTATAAGGTATTCTTTCCACTGTGGAGACCTGGAGGGTTAGCAAGGTAGGAGGCTATCACTACTTCTCTCAGTTTTGATCTGTACTCTCTCCTAGGTAAGCCCCTCCTTTAGTGCTTATGTTTGGTTTTCAATACAATGCTTTAGGTTTCAATACAATAGAAAAACAGAATTGTACCCAGGTAAGGGAATCAGAACATTGAGGGCTCAAACTATGTCATGTGAAGAATAGTGGAAGACATACATTGCAGAGGATGAGGACCTTGGCTATATGATCACTGACTTAACATTCTGAAGGCCTGTCACACAGAAGAGGAACTAAGCATGATATTCAAAATGTGGACCATGGAAGCTGTTTTAAATGAAGATCCTTAGGTTCCCTGCGTTAAAATTAGAACCATTGGATTAGGTATTTCTGTTCTGAATAAGCAGTTGAATCAAAGAAATGCATGGAAATGACAAAGAAACAAGTTTCAGTTCCTTTGCTAAGACTCTGAGTAGTCCAAAGACGTAATTGGCTGTAATTAGATGTTCACTAGTCAGAGGTATCCTAGAGTGGTTCCAGGCGGTAATTCTAAGGATGGGAGGAGACCTGAAAAGATGGATTTCCAGCCCCTCCAAACCCTGATTTTGTACGATCCAGTTCCATGATGACTGGGTTTGGTTATTCAAACTCAATAAAGGCATTGGCTGGCCCCTCTTAAGGAAGCTACATCCAAAGACAGAATGAGCCTAAAGACAAGGGCTTTTATTTCCTGTGCAGAATCAGTATGACAGAAACTCATCATTATTTATTCGTTTCTATAAGGCTTCAAAGAACTGGCACCACCAAAGCCTCATCCACCATTGGCTCAAGGTTGGAAAACAGAGTGATGCCACCACCATTGCCATGTCCTCCTGATGGGACCTATATAAGGGGGAGAAGTAGGATTCTGATTGGCTTGAGTGTGAAAACAAAAAACAAAAAACAAAAAATCAGTTGCTGTTGAGTCAATTCTCACTCATAGCTACCCTAAAGGATAGAGCAGAACTGCCCCATAGGGTTTCCAAGGAGCAGCTGGTGGATTTGAACCTCTGACCTTTTGGTTAGCAGCCGAGCTCTTAACCACTGGGCCACCAGGGCTCCTGGGTGTGAAAGAGATGGGAAAATTCCATGTTTATACACCCCAGGTTACTTCCCTGAGTGCTAGCTGCCCATGAAGACTATAGACATGTCAGCGGTTCCTCCCATGGCAACAATTCTATAATCCTGCCGTATGTGCTATCAAAAAATGCAGTGGAAATAAACAACTTTCTGTTCTCTTAAAGTCATTTTCAGAAAAGAGTTGATGCATTGCCCTATGCACAGACTGTGTTTTAATACACTGTCAAAAGTCATTCACTTACCTGAGGCGCCACTTTGCAGGATCCCACAGAAGCAGAGGCTCATTATATACCACAGAAGTCTCATTCTGTCAACATAAACACAGAGGAGAGTCCTTATCACTCCTGAGTGCTTAAATAACTCATGCATATCCATGCTGACTATGTATTAGGAAATGTTTTAAGGGTTTTACACATATTAACTTATTTAATAATCCAAACAAACCAATAAGATAGGCCCCCCTTTTTTTAATCCCCTTAATACAGATAAGGAAACCAAGGCAAGTTTAAATAATTTGACCAAGATACCTTGCCTAGATAACCGTTAAGCCAAGATCGAATTCCAGCAGTCTGACTCCAGAGCCATCTCATAATCACTGAACTATCACTGTCTGCTTAAAAAATATTTATCCGGATTTTTTTCACCAGGAGTCACATTTCTGGCAGATTAATTTGACCTTCTTACCTTCTTTGCATTCCCCAGGTCTATGCCCAGTGGGAAATATTTTATGAGCCAGGCACTTTTCCCTCCTAGTGATGAATAGAAAGTCTAGAAATCCTGGATTCAGACTTGCTCCTCAGTTCATTGCACTCTGAATATATATTAAGGGGAAATATATAAACCTCATGCCCTGCTGGCCCCACTCTCCTCTCCTCTCCTTGGCCCCTGGTAAAACTTCCATAGGGTTATAAATAAACCAAGAGATTGTTGAGAAATTCCGTGCCCAAGACCTCTGCTTTCTATTTTGAACACACAGCCATATTAAGGTGCTTAGGGAGGTCTTGGTAATTTGTCCAGAGTGTACTTTAGTAACTGACACAGGTGGGAATTTTACCCGTCTGTCTAACTACAGTCTATAATCTTATACATGAGCCTATGACACAGGTTTCACAACCACAGGGATCCCTCAATCAAAAGAGGTACCTGATAAATAGGGTGACTATATAACTTATCACCTAAAATGGGATACATTTAAGAGTGGTACATTGAAATAGAAGGTAAAACTGGCACTGTACAGTCAACCCGGAGTGTGTGGTCACCCTCAAGGATAATGTAAGTTTCCAACACCTAGTGACCTCCAGTCACCTCTGTTGACCATGCATCACCAAAGTTCTCTGGTTCATATCATGCTTCCCTTTTTAGCTTGGTTGTATACAAATCACAGGTGAGTGTATTGTATATCAAACAAGCTCTTTATCTCAATGACTAAATGTCTCTTTCTTCCCACCATCATCCCCTTCCAGTTCTTATACCACCGCCTTACCTCCATCAATCTTTCATTTAGTCAATAAAACATATATTGAGCACTTGCTGTTTACAAGTCACTCTACTACAACTGCAGGCAGCTCTAGTGAATAAGATGTAGGGCCTCCTGGAAAGGCACTTATTCCCGGTAGAGGAGATAAACCCCAAGTAAACCATTTCAATGTCAACTGTGTATAGAACATGCACATGCAGGGGACTCCAAGATTTATCATTCAGAAGTTCAGTGCCAGGCGGAGTCTCATAGAGACTTAATGCATACAAAAAATAATTGCAAGACAAAGTAAAAAGTGATAAAAATAGATAAATGTTATTGAAGACCAGCAAGGCAGAGGGATTATTCCAGCCAAGGCAATCAAAGACGATGAAACACAAGAAGTGGCTTTTGAACTTAGCAAGCACCAGCTTGGCTATTAAGAATTGAGGCTGTGGGAAAATGAAATTCTTAGAGGAGAATAATGCTCAAAGGTTCGGAAAGTGTGGAGCAGAAATAGGAAATAGTCTATAAATAATTCAGTTTGGCTCAAGCACAAGGTATTAGAGAAAGAACTACAAAAGATTTTTGTAGGAAAGTGGGTAGAGTTATGATCAGGCAAGGGCTTGAACACCAGGCTGAGGATTTGGGGTTTAATTTAAGCAGCAAACGGAATCAGGAAGGTTTCTGAGCAGAAGAATGATACGATCATCAAGCTGTGCTTATGGAGATCATTCTGCCAGGCACGTACTGGATGGATTGCCACTAAATTCTCTCTTGAAATCATTCTGGCTCCTGAGTCGGTCATCACCATAATTGCTATCCTTCCAGTTTTGTGTCATTTATGAACTTGATCAACATGCCTCCTATGTCCTCATCCTAGTCATTAATAAAGGTAATTAATAATTCTGCATTAATCCTTGTCAGCTGAGAGGAACTACATATTTCATGGCAGATTCAGGGCACAGTAATTTCAGCCCCACACTCCTCTGTTAAACCACTCTGGTCTCCCAAATTGCTGTTGGTTATTAAAAACAAAAGTAAAAACACAAAAACCTCACACTTCTAGATTTTCCCAATTTGCCTGTTGATAAGCTGCTGAATTTTTAAGGTAACATTTAGAAGACATTCAATTAGTGTGATGGAGGATCCTAATTGATATTCTCAGGAGTAACTGGATTTTGCTAAAAGCAGCAAGGCATCAGGTCACCAAGGTAAACCTGATCTAAAGATGACCTGTGTCAAACACACATTCAGGGTCAGTCCTGCCCTCTGATGAATGAGAATAAAGCAAACTGAGAAGAAAATGTGATGGTGCAGCTTCATTTTGACAGGTTAAAGACACCAAGGTTAGCGGGAGGGAGGCAGGCGGTTGGTCTCAAACCTCAGAGAATGCTGGTCCATTTCACATCTTCTTGCATGCACTCAGCCTCGGAACTTTATTATCGTGACTAGTAATATACCTTTGGGCCTCGATTCTTGAGGGGGTGGGTGGGGAGGAACACAAGGTATTTTCAGAGATGGAGAAATGGCAGAGAGCAAAGGAACCTGCCCGATACCATGTGGTTTCTCAGGGTTTGAATGGCAATATGGCTTTAGATTATTGTGATGGAGTTTAACAGTTTCTGCCCTTGCTTCCAATGACTGGAACCTACATAAAATAGATCCTCATTCCACTCTTTTTGCCATTATTCATTGCATTCACTGTAGTGACTATTTTCACATTTTCTCTCTTATATACTGGTATTCTCTCATGGTCAACGCCATGGCTCTGCACTAGATCAACTTGGATGCCTGTACTGTCTGGCAAGACGCTTCAGATATGCATTCATTTCTACACAATCGACAATAACGTAAATGACCACTGTTAATATGTGTCCCTGCATACGAATCTTTCCGTTGCTTACACTCTCTAGTATTGACAAACCTCAGGATCTCCCTACTTCAGAGTGACCCCTGATCATTGGATTCTTCTAGTGGGCCAATGGTGGACAGGTTGAAATTAGATTTGCTGCCCCACGGAGGTGTTCGCTCTGGATTGCCATCTACTCCCCAAGCTATAGCTTCCTCCTGCACAGCAGTGTTTTATCTGGCTGTTGTTGCTGCGTGCCATTGGGTCGATTCCGACTCACAGCAACCCTACAGGACAGAGTTGAACTTCCTCATACGGTTTCCTGCAGATCGCCAGGTCTTTTCTCCCGCAGAGTGGCTGGTGGGTTCGAATCACAGACCTTTTGGTTGGCAGCCAAGCACTTAAACACTGTGCCACCAGGGCTCCTTTTTCTCAGGCTACAGGGCTGGGTTTCTCCCTCAGTTTCCTGACTCAACATACAGTTCCCACACTCAGATCACAGTCACTCCTGCAAGCCCACCCACCCGGGCTCAGGCTTGTCAAACGCTTTTCCAGGAGCCTACATTTTGGCATTCCAGTTGGGATGTCCTGTCCCAGGATGAACTTCCTATAACCAGGACGTTGTTACGACCTGCCCTTCGCTATGACCTGCCCACCGATGAAAACAACCCTGATTTCTTAATAAATGCCATTATCTTTTCTGTTACCTCTTGTACGATTCCATTTAAATGACATTATCAAAAAGACAAAACTAGAGTGACAGAGAACAGATTGAGGGGCCCGGGATAGTGAGAAAGTATGCTTACAAAAAAAAAACAAACAAAAAAAAAACACGGAGGAGTTTTATTTGGAGGGATGGAACTGTTCCATATCCTGATTTTGGTGGCGGTTACATAATTCTATACATGTGTTAAAATCCACAGACCTGTTTAAAAACAAGGTCAATTTTATTATATGTTAATTAAAAAATATATTTTTAAAATGGCATGACTTTTCCTTTTAAAAGCTCAACAAATGATTTGTGAACCCTTTTAGACAGTTTGAATAAATGAAAAGTGTTTTAACCTAAATATGGTTTCTATTTTTGACATTTACTTTGAAAATAACACAGTCCTGTCTTTATGTACTAAATGTTCCAGAAAAGCCTAGCTGTAGAGACACCTGAAGAGATCAATGGACTGTCCCAACTTTCAGCTTATCAAGCCAGTACTGCTAACCTCTGCTGATGTAACAGAAAGTCAGCGTTCACACCAGAAAAATGTTAGCACACTCTTTTCAGATATTGCCCTCCTTCCCAGTTCTTACTTAATAGATTAGAAGTGCTTGGATGTATATATAACATAATACACCACCTGCCATGTTTAGAAGTTTGCAATAGAATGTGAGCAGATTGATTTCATTTTGTTCTTTAATATTTTTAATAGCAACATGCTCTGTGAAGTAAGGGAAGAAATACCATTACGAAGCCATGTCTCCCACAATGGAGAGCTAGAACCGGGTTTTCACTGAGAAGCAGGTGAAAGAGTACTTTTAAAGGAGCAGTGACCTTGGAGTTCCAAGTTAGACTATGTGACCTTGGACGGCCAGACAGAAGAAGAAAGAAACATTTGTGGTGACCTCTTAGGGAGAGTTGTATCCTGGTCACTATCTTGAGGACTAAATTAAAACTGATGTCCTATGGGTAGAGTCCGTGTGCAGTGCAAACAGCTAACATGATCGACTGTTAACTGAAAGATGAGAGGTTTGAGTCCCCCCAGAGGTGCCTCAGAAGAAAGGCCTTGTGATCTACTTCTGAAAAGTCAGCCAGTGAAAAACCCTATGGAGCACAGTACTACTCTGTCATGCATGGGAATCAACTGAACTGGAACTGTTTTTTAATTGGTTCCAGGGGTTCATGGAACCTGCTTCATGATGGCAGGAAGAATGTTCAAATGTATCCTTTCCCTAGTGGGCAGACAATTTGATGATTAAATACTCCCCATTTAGGGAGACACTGAGA